AATGAAAAAAAAGTTAGAACATATCCATCAATTATTCATGACTTGCATCTGAAAAACTAAAAATGTGCACAGGGAAAGTCCCAAATGATTCATTACTTTTAATCACATACTAATAATCTGAGTGTGGAAATTATAAAGCTTCTGCTTCTTTGGACTTTAAGACTCTACATTCTTTCATGCCATTTGATGCCTAACAATGTCTTATAGTGAAAGACAGTTTTCTCATTTTTTCTTTTTCCAACATTTATGCTGATATTGGTGAGAAACTGGTAATTTCTTCCTTTCCTTTTTTAGTGTACAATGGCCTGGTTTTCCACAACTCACAGAGGCTGATATTCCTCTATGTATTTTTGCTAATTCCCCCCATTCCCAGCCCATGTACATTCAGAGAACTCTTCAGTCACTAGAAAGCCTTCAAAGAATCATACAGCATTGACAGTTGGAAACCTGGCCGGGTGTGCTCAATGGCCTCCAGAGTGACTGTTACCCAGTGGCTTAGGGAGTGTGTGTTCATATACCCCAGATTTCTCTTCTTTAATAGATAGTTGTAGTATTGTCCTTCATTTTTTAAAAGCTGGACCCTAGGAAAGCTCAGTGAGAGCAGAATAGTCTGCTTGGTAATGTATCCTTCAACCGCTTTGCTTCCCTTCCCTGTATCACTTCCAATGTGCAGGACGTGTGTGTACTCAGAGCCTTAACTCAGGATCCACTTCTGGGAGGACAAAGATTCAGAAAACTTTCCCCACAGCATCAGCTGAAGAGATATTCAGGTAGATTGTGCTCTTTGATAAGGGCCCAGGCATGAATACAACTAAGTGGGTTTAGGGCTATCTGTGGTTGTTAACTATCTGTGTTTTCTTTTGAAAATAAGCCATTGCTATTGTTAATAAACCCTGATGTCTTTGTCATTGAGTCTGAAAGAAATAAGCACAGAACTCTCAATAGAATTTTCTTCTGTTCCCAATATAAAGAAATAAATTTTGGCTGGGCGGTGGTGGCGCACGCCTTTAATCCCAGCACTCGGGAGGCAGAGCCAGGCGGATCTCTGTGAGTTCGAGGCCAGCCTGGGCTACCAAGTGAGTCCCAGGAAAGGCGCAAAACTACACAGAGAAACCCTGTCTCGAAAAACCTAAAAAAAAAAAAAAAAAAAAAAAAAAGAAAGAAATTTTGTTTTTCACATTAATATATTTTTCTGTCATAAGCATTTATATTCACAACACAACTAATTAGCAATAGAAGCATACTTCTTTTACTGTGTCTTAACATGTTAGAAAACATTATTAAGTGAGCAGGTCTCAATTTCTAGGTTAATTAAAAATAAAATTTTATTTCCTTTAAAAAAATTAAAAGGTCAAATACCTCTATGGCATTTTTGAAATGTTTTTGCAGTTTATTTGTAGCATAAAAATTCTATCATACTGAGTATTAATAAACTGGAAATTTTTATTAGTTTTTCTTTTTTCATTTTTATGAGCTGACACAAACTGTAGACAATAGGTAATATGTGTATTTTATTTCTACTGTAACAGGACTTTAGAGGCATACATAATATGAATGACGTAGAAGTATTACTTTAAAAAACAGTAATACATAATGTATCCTGAGGAATGAAAAGTGATTCAGGTGAACCTTGTGATGACCCTCACCAATGTGTTTGTAGTTAATAATCCTCATTCCGAACCAGACTTGGCTAGCCCATTGTCCATTTAGAAATCTCACCTTGAGTGACTGGTTTCTACTGAGCGATAAGCAGCACTTAACTAATAAATTCAAAGAAAGTAATATGGGTCAAAGGACTATCATCAGAATACAGCATGGCTCTACCTCCATAAGCATTGTACTGGCTAGTTTTATGGCAGCTTGACACAAGCTGGAGTCATCAGAGAGGCAGGAATCTCAATGGAGAAAATGCCTCCTCCACAAGATCTGGTTGTAAGGCATTTTTCTTAATTAGTCATCAGTGGGGGAGGGTCCAACCCATTGTGGGTGGTACCATCTCTTGGTTGGTGGCCCTGGGTTTTATAAGAAAGCAGGCTGAGCAAACCATGAGGAGCAGGCTAGTAAGCAGCAGCCCTCCATGGCCTCTGCATCAGCTCCTGCCTCCAAGTTTCAGCCCTGTGTGAGTTCCTGTCCTGACTTCCACCCTGATGATCAATGATTTGGAAGCATAAGCAAAGTAAACTTTCCTTCCCAAGTTGCTTTGGTTATGGCGTTTCATCAGAGCAAAAGAAACCCTAATGAAGCCAAGCACATATAAACGTAGATGGCTCATTTTCACATAGCAATGATAAACACTTTGTAAACCACTTCAGAAATCTTTTAGTTTTAGAATTCTGTTAATTTCTAGGCGTTCCCAAGTTGAAGGCTCCACTCTCCTGAGTGTACCGTAATGGTTTAGGATATCTAGAGCTAGCTTTTCTTATCCATCGTCTGCCCTTTTCACTGTTTCAAAACAATCTAATGCCAAATACCAGATCTCTTCTAAGTTTCCGTTTAAAGAGGTCCTCACATATTTCTGCAAACGTCATGGGACACTCTGATTGCACAATTGCTGGCATCTGACTTTTGTTATCTTGACTACCACATACTTATTCCAAACACTGCTTCTCTTCACCCTAGCTCTGTAATTTTATTCTGTTTTCTGCATAAACACTCTATTTTGGTCATAAAAGCGTATCTTTTTTTTTTTTAAACTACATTATGAGAGTTCTGGGGTTTCTAGTCATAGACCATTATCAGTACATGAGCTTATGCGCTTCCCTTTACTTTCAGTCCTCGGCCCATCTTTACTATCATTTTCAATGGAGACAAATGAGTTTTGCACACTTGTGATGAACCAGGAGCCTCACAGTAATCATCGTTCGTTTCCTCCTTCATCACTTGCATCACTGCAAAAGCACCTGAACTCCCCACGCCTCCCACACAGCGCTTCAACAGTGAGTCAGGAGGAGGTTTAGTACGCTTTTCCCCTCCTCCTTTCCCTCTGATTGATTTCTTTCCTCCCTGCGCCAGATGCAGCCAGCATTCTTTGTGAGGGGTCCACATCATCACACTGGAGTCCCTTTTGTGTTAGCTTGCCATCTTTTAAGTGATGTTCTCTGATAGAAGAGTATAAAGAATATCTCCATTCTAGAAATCTGGTGAACATGTGCCTGGTTCTGTACACGTAAGAACATATACCACATGTATGACATCTAAGAATGATGGGAGTCCAGAGTTTCAGTCCTTGTTTTAAGCAGGAAATAACCCGAGGCCCTGAAGTACAGATGTCAGTGTTCAAGATGACAACGTGCCCAGTTTAAAAGACCCGAGATTGAATAAGTAGTATACTGGTTATTAATTACAGGTGACTTTGGATAAATTACTAACATATTCAAGACAAAATCGCCTCACAAAACGGGACAGTACTACTACAGACTGTACCGAATGCAATGAATAGCATGTCAAGTGGTAAACATTTAATAAGTGACAACATGTTAAGGATTTTTTTCCCGTGGCACACTGTCAGAACAGCTTGGGTGGGTTTGAAATCAGTTTTTCGGGGATTTCAGCCCTAACCCGGTTTCCTAGCATCAGGACTTAAACTACTAACTTGATGCATGACCTTGAACAAAATAGTCACTGAGTCGCTTTCCTCACCTATAAAAGAAAGAACTTGATTAGATAACCTCTAAGGTCTCTGCAGATGCTAGTATAGCTACATCCCTCCCCCGCCCCCCGACTGTGGATGAGCTGAGGCTTAGGGTTCCTGAAACCGCCCGAAGCTATGCACACGTGGGTGCCCAGATGCCTGCATTCGTGCAGTGGGAGGCTGCGTACACCCTCAGCTGTTGCCTCTTTGGTCTGCCTCCCGGGTCTGTGTGGAGACCACATCTCGCTTTATTTATTTATATCCTGGCTTGCTCCCGAAAGCACATAAGGGCGCCAAGACACACAGTTAAGTCCCCGACAGTGTCACAGGGTGCCAGAGAGAAATCTTCTGATGACACCTCCCTTAGAAAACCGCCTCCCGGAGATGCTAATGAATGCCTTTTGCCGCACTCTCCGGGTCCCAGCTGGGCTCCTGGGCTCCTGCCCCAGCCGTCTACCCCTCCCAGCGGTCACTCAGACGCCCTTCCCGGACTAGCCCAAACTGTCACCCCCGAGAGTCCCCAGCTGGACCAGGATCCCGCCCGCCTCCCTCTCTCGCCTCTCATTGGCTGGTGCCGCCGTCACTCCCCGCGCGGCCCCGCCTCCCCGCCTAGCGCTTTTTTTTTTGTGTGTGTGTGTGTGTGGACCCCTCGGTTTCCGCGGCAAGCCGCTGACGTTTGCCTGAGCCGTGTTGCCGGGGCCCCGCGACCTTTCACCCCCCGCCCCCCCCGCCGCCTCCCCGCGGGAGCGCCCCGGCCGGCTCCGCGCGCCCCCGCCAGCCCCGCGCGCCCCCGCCCGCCCCGCGCGCGCGTGCCCGCCCGCCCGCCCGCCCGCCCGCGGCCCCGCAGGCGGAGACTCCGGCGCGGAGGCCGGCCCCGCGCGGCGCGGGTGGGAGTCGCGGCCCCTCGCGGCCCCCGCCCGCCGCCCCCCACGCGCGGGAGACACGATGAGCGCGGGCGGGCGGCAGCGGCGCGGAGCAGCGCAGGCGGCACACGCGCCCAAGCAGCGGCGGCGGCGGCAGCAGCGGGAGCGAGCGCCGCGTTAGCCGGGTCCGCCGCTCCGGCCGCCCGCCGCCGCTCCTCCTCCCGCTCATTCACTCGCCCTCCTCCCGGCCGCCCGCGCCTCCTCCGCTCATTCACTCCCGCTCTGCCCGCCGCTTTCTTCTCCTTCTTCACCCTCCGGCTCCCACACCCCCTCCATTCCCGCTCCTAGCCGACACTGCACTGCAGCTGCTCCGCGCCCTGCCCCCTCCCCAGTGAGCACATCAGCCACACTGCTCGCCGCCTCTGACTGCTATTGATCCGATTAAAGAAAAAAAAAAAAACCTTAGCAACCCCAAACGCCAAAAAAAAAAAAAAAAAAAAAAAAGAGAGAGAGAGAGAGGAAAAAAAAAAAAAGCCAAAACAAAAGGGAGCCGCTTCTCCCGGTGCAGCGGCAGGAACTGCAAGCATGATGGCGGCAGCTCCCATCCAGCAGAACGGGACCCATACGGGGGTTCCCATAGATCTGGACCCGCCGGACTCGCGGAAAAGGCCGCTAGAAGCGCCCCCTGAAGCCGGCAGCACCAAGAGGACCAACACGGGCGGTGGGTATCGCTTCCGCCTCCCGCCCCGTCCCCGCCGCCCTCCCGCGCCGTGGCCGCCGCCGCCGCCGGCCGTCCCGCGCCCCCTCCCCTGCACCTGCCCCGGCCCCGTCTCATCAAGATGGCGACCCGGGGTTCCGAGCCGACCCGCTCGCCCCAGCCGGTGCTGGCCCCGGCGACAGGGTCCGCTCCCGAGGCCGCCCCCCGCGAGAGGTGATGGCCGCCTGAAGATGCGCGCTGCATTTAACAGTCTGATCAAATAAATAAATAAATGGCACTTGGGTAGAGGCTTGCAGATGCTGGGGGCACCGGAGACTTTTGCCTCTGTCCATCCCCTTTCTCTGGGCCACAAGTAGTATGCAAAATCTTGATGAGTGCATGCCCTGAGCGCACTTACATGGTCGGTACAAATATCGCATTGATTTGTCTTCAAGGGTATGCATACGAGGGGGGTGTCTGGTACGGTGACTTGTTAGTTAACATCCTGCGCTTCCTCGGAAGATGAGTTATAACGGGACCGCTATCGCTTCTTCATTTGCACTGGAGTCATCTTAACAATGCATCCAATGCATCGAAGCAGAGGTGAATTTATCTCCAGCATATACATTAGAGATGGATGGGGGTCTTGTGAGTGGCACATCGCAAAATTCGGAATGCTCGTTCACTGTAAAGAGCTGGATTTACCGAGAAGTTTCCTATTTAAGACGTGATCAGGTTGACGGAAACTAAAGTTTATGGAGTTGGCTTTATTTTCTGAAACATTTCATTTTTCTTTTTCATGGCTCATCGACCCCTCTCTCCGTTTTATGGTTCTTTTGGAGAGGGAGCATTATCTATTTGGATTTGGTCACTTTGGAGTGTATTTAGGATAAATAACTCCTAAGCTTTTTAGTATTGGCAAGATTCTTCTTAAGGTCTTTTAATTAATGAGCTTAGACGAGATCATAGTAGACTTAGAAGTGCTACGGAAATACATCAGGATTACTTAGATTCTCAGTCCACCACATTGAGGCTCCCCCCACCCTCCCCCGCAGTTTCTCAAGGCTTAGAATAAACCCTACAGTTTGGGTGGACTATTTTGCAGGAAGACGGTTGTTTTGTATACTTAAAGTCGGATATAGTCAATGATTAATTGTAGTCTTTTCTGCTTGCTATGACAGAAGAATTTAGCGGATCACTATTTACTACAGTGTTGGAATTTTTTTTTTTTTTTCGTCTTCAGTATGTTAAGTGAAGGTTTGTCATCTTATAAATCTCTGAAGTTTTGTGAAAGGGTCAGTTTCTTTCATTTTGCCATAGTAACCACAGAATTGGAAGACTTTCAGGTTTGGAGTAACGACTGGAATTTACTCATCAGTTTTTACAGTGCTGCAAATTGTTAGGACATGGGAATCGCGGAAACTGGGAAGGCTTTCGTAAATGCTTGTTTTTCACTGTAATTGGTGGTTTTCATCCCTTAAGCATTTTTAACTGCTGTTTTCTGCTCGAGTTACTGTTTTCTCTCTTGAGGGTGGATTGGGGATTCAAAGTTGAAAATGATCATGTTAATCAAATGTCTTTCTTTACATTTTTCAGAAGACGGCCAGTACTTTCTAAAGGTTCTCATACCTAGTTATGCTGCTGGATCTATAATTGGGAAGGGAGGACAGACAATTGTTCAATTGCAAAAAGAAACTGGAGCCACTATCAAGCTGTCTAAGTCCAAAGATTTTTATCCAGGTAGGTGAAATGGTGGAGAAATTGTTTGGTGAATTCCCCAAGGAAAAACATTGAATATCTACATGTGTTGTGTGTTGTCTTAAAGAAAAATTTAAATGGTGGAGATTTGAATGTTACTACATTAGCATACATTGTGGAAAAATTTTCAGCTTATTTCCATTGTTGTTCATGTTTTTTTTTTCATTAATTGATACACTGCGTATGTGACTTATACTAATTGCGATACAATTCTCTGGGTGTTTTGGAATGCTAATTGTTTGCACAAAAACTTAAAAATTAGAGATAGAAACCTGGACAGTTGGCATGAGGGAATGTGGTTCTTCTGAAGTTTACAGACATCATTGTAATGACAATTAGTTTAGAGTGAATTCAGAGGAGGGGGTAGGGAGGCTTCCTAAAGAATGGACCATTTACTTCTGAATCCATTATGCACCTCTTTCTGCTTCATTGCTTTGTTTGTTGGCCTTGGATGAAGTGAGGAGGACAAGTGCTGTCTCTTAGATATTTAAAATACTCCAGTAATGTAATTGGGATAAGAAATTTCCTATACTGCCATGCAAGAAGTAAAATAGTGTTTTAGAATTTGTGTTAAGAGCCGTATTTGATCGAAATACTTTACAGTGTGGTACAGTAACCTGCTAGATTATGGCAGGTTTCCTAGGTTGCTTGTGTGGATTTGCTTTTTGTCTTTTTGCTTTGTTTTGTTTTACTTTGGGGCTCCCTCCCTTTGTGTTGTACAGTTCTTCATGTTCATCTTTTTCTTTTCTTTCTCCTTAGTTCTGTTACTCGACGTATATATTTTCAGTAGTGAAATCACAGTGGAGTAGTACAACCCCAGATGAAATATGGTTAGCTGCTTTGCTTCACTTAGATAAAGCTCTCTGTAATTTCTGGAGGTTGTTTTACTTTGATGACTATAAATATATCAGTTCAGTGCTGAGGTGAGCTATGCTGCTTAGGTTTTTTTCCTGATGGAAAAGAAAGCAGTTTTGTTCCAGAGATCCTAATTCACCAAGAGCTCTTTGGTACAGCAGACACTGGCATGGATGGAGGCTCAACCTTGGAAGGCTTCTTTTTCACAGCTAATCATTTGTGGTGGAAACCGACCATTTACTGGAGAAGGTTTTGGAATGGTTGATGCTGTACTAGTTGAACACAGGACTTTTTGGCAAAATATTGTTTATTAAACTACCGTGTAACCTGTTAGATACTGCAGCCCTGTAAAGTTTGCCTCTCCCTGTCTCGGAAACTTTCCTGATGCAGTTGGGAAGTTTACCATATTCATGTTGGTGCATTGAACAGGTATATTACAATAAAAAATCAGTGTGGGATTGTGAAAATACTTAGTTTAAATAAAAGCACTCAAAAGAGCTTGATTGCAGAATTAATAACATGATAGTTCAAGGAAGAGCTGCAGTGGCAAATTAAATACCCTGTCAATAGATGAAAATGAAAACGCTTTTCTGCATTATACATGAGGTACTGTCAGATATGTAGGGGTGTTACAGAAAATTGATATTTAGCCAGGACATTCCAAATACCAAATTAAATGCCTTTTCATTTGAATGTAGTTTATTTTCAGTGTGTTGGAAAGGGTGCACTAAGAAATAGGTCTTTTGATTCTAGTCCACTTATTTTTACGTTTTTTCCTTCTTACCTGAAAATTACTTATTTTGTTTATAGTTTGAAGATATATATATATATATATATATATATATATATATATGAATATTTTGGGAGGGGGGAAATGGGAAGCTGCAATGCCTTGAATAAAATCTTGTAAGTGTAGTGACGTAACCTGATCAACTATGAGTTAAAGCATCGGCTAGAAGATGGCTTATTCTTGGCCTCTAACAGGTGGGAGTCAATATAGACTATGATACAGTTTTAAGGATAAAACAAATCCCTGTAGTTTCTAAGAAGCTTTAAGAATTCTGAATAGTTTGTATTAAAATGTGATTTTAATTCAGTAATTAACTCTTTGGACAAACACATCTACAGTCTTCAGATAGGCTTATTTTCCTATAGGCTTTCTGTTCGTAGTTGATGAGAACTGGTAAAATTATCTATGGTCTTAGTATTTGTCAGTCTAAGAGCCTTTGAGCTTTTTTTCTGCCCTTCTTATATGCGACAGATACTTATTGTGCTCATCCCCAGATGAACTAAATTATAAACCGTGATTCATGTTGTCGGGTTACAAAGGAAGTCCTATAGGCTTTTGCAGTGATTTAGCAGCCCATATTTGTGTCTCTCAGATAGATACAAGCATACGCACACAGACGTGTATGTATGATTGCCGTGTTCTGCCAGAGTGAACGTTCCTGGGGTTTATTGCAGTGAGACATTTTTCTGGTTTTTGTTTGGTTAGAGTATATTTGGGATAAAATTGCATCTCAGTTGTAGAAACTACTGGATTTACTCAAATTACCTGACATTTGAAATGAAATGTAAGCGTATTGCTAAACATTTAGTAAAAATACTACTGTATTTTTCAAAACTTTTTCTAAGAGGTTTAACACAGATTGTAGTTACCCTTTAGAACATTTTTAATATACCTCAACTCAAATGATGGACACGTGTAAAAATTTGTAGCTAATACAATTTTTATAAATGCGTTTGTCTTTTTGGTCAGATTGTGTCTTTGCCATATCATAAAGCAACCCTACATTTCTGATTGATGATTTTTAAACTTCAGTCAAAATGAAGAAGACAAAATACATTGTATGAATTTAAAGTTTATACGGCTAAATATTGTATGTATTTCAGTGTATCATGTATGCAGTGACCAGGGGAATTGTATAGTGCATAGTTGAAAAGTGCATTTCAATCATTGGAATCAGAAGAAAATGATCTACAAGTAGATTTTACTTTGTGTTCTATATATTTCTTCTATATATTGATTTCCTAAGACTTAATCTTACAGGATGCAGACTTTTCATTGGTGGCTTAGGAATGTAGCTTTTTTTCTGATTTGATTAAAGAAATCTAATTTGACTTTAAATTTATGTATTCTTTTATAAGTAGGTTACATAGAGCTGCTTGTGGTAAAAAAGCAGCTTTCTCGCTGTAGGGGCTGAATTACTGTCTACATTCTCAGAAGGGTGGCTAGTGTTATTTTTTAATTCTTTTGCCTGTCATCTGAAGACCTTTTATTTTCATTAATAGATTGATTTTATCTGTTAAAATTTAATGCAAGGTTCAAGCTTGTTATTAAAGAAACGTATTGAATACATTCATTATTGGTTGGGAATAATAAAGAATATATAAATATTTTCATGAGTGCCTTGAATATTAGAACACCTCATACTTGATCTGTTTCTGCTCTGTGACACTGGAGACATCCCATATGCCAATCAAACAGGACTCTTACTGTAATGTTGGAATCTATTCCTGTGTATTCTATATTGTTTTAGTATATATGCTTATAAAACTGAATCATTTTAAGTATAAAGTATTTCCTTTTATGTTGCGTAAGTTAAAATTTGAACATGTTGCTTCTAGATTCATCAAATTATGACTTCAGTGATATCTAATTTAGATGATTTTCTAAGAAAAATTTGAAGTCTTTACCCATTTATTTTTTTTAATAGTGAAAAGGCGGACTGTAAGTTAAAATTCTTTCAGTGAAGGAACTGCATTGCACCATTTTTGTTTTGACACGAATAAAATTCAGTTGTTTATTTAACTTTTAGGGCTGAAAATGTGTAAGATACACACATACACACACACAGAGGAAATAAATTTTAAAGTAGACGTTTTGTTTATACTGTTGAAGGTAAAGTATTATGGTGATATTGGTAATAAATACCCTATGGATATCATTTTCCTCACAGCTTCTCAGAGTTGTAAGCTATACGTTTTTCTTTGATCTCAGTTGCTAAAGTCTGAGAAATTTATTGATACACATTATAAGGCAAGATCAGAACATTGATAGAATGGTAACAGGTAAAGAAAATAAATTATTTTGACCTCAGAACTTGTTGGTTCATGTAATATGGTAGTGACCACTCTCTGCAGCTCTGATTTCACTGGTACCAGGGAGTTGCTGTGCATGAAGCATATTTCTCTGTGATCTTAAAGTTGTGATGTTTATGTTTGGTATAGTACCTACTGTGCAGGTGACTTTATATTTCACTTTTCCAAACATTTAGGTGAAGGAAACATACTGTTCACACAGACAATAGTATTGCTTGAAATTTTGATTTATTCTCATTTTTAATACTTTATTTTCGTATTTTAACAGTAGGAATTCTTTACATGTGAAAGAGTGTTATTGGTATGCCATAATATTTATGAACATATAAAAATACTTTTGACACTAATCTCATGAATGCAAATACTTTGTGGCAGGGGATTTCTAGAAATATAAATTAGCATAACGTGCCTTAGGTGTCTTCTTTATTTGTTCACCTTTATTTCATTTTGACATTGGATCTTCTACCACTGAATTAAAAAATTGTTAAAAGTCATTAGCTTATTGTATTGGTGTTTTCATGAGTTTTTAATGGCACAATGTCACTTTGACATGTGTTGTTTGAAGCCTTCTGTGCTTTAGAAAAATAGCTCACTAGGAATATGTGATATTGTAAGGCATAATCTAACATTACCTCACAGACACCATGCCACATGATTTCAGGAATAGTGAATTGGTGAAGTAGTTGAATGTGTGTTTTGAGGATGCTTCATATTAATATACCAAGAAGAAAAAATGATCCATGGCATAGAAATGCTAAGTAATTTGTGGTATCGCTAGAAACCCCTGACAATAAACCACCAGTCAACAACTTGTATATCATTATAATTACTTATTTTGCTGTAGCCAACAAGATGATTATTTTTAATTTAGTTTATCCGAGTGCCATTTATTGAACATGTTATACCACCTGTTATCTAAACTTCAGCACTTAATAAGCATCTTTTATAAAACTATGGGGTTCGGTCGTAGTTGCCTTTAGTTTAATAAAGCTTTACAGCGCAAACCTCAGGAGCAAGTGCGGATT